GCCTCAGGGACAGGGGACTCTGGCTAGACCAAGGTGTTACAAGTGGGAAACGAGGAAAAACGGCCAAAGAGAGAAGGTGTCTGCTGTCTCAGACAGGGGGATCCCTTCCCGGGTCTTCGTCTCCCCTGCCAATGACGGGACAGGCTTTGAATGAAGCCCAGAGGAGAACACAAGCTCTGCAGTCAGACAATCTGGGTGTAGCCAGTGACGCGGCCACTCACAAGCTGGCCGACTCTGGGCAAGGCTTCAACATCTTACAACTTCACCTCTGCATCTAGAAAATGGGGCTCCTAAGAGTACCTACGTGATGTGACTGTGAGAATTAACGCCACAATTTGGTAAAAAGCACTCAGCACCATGTCTACCCTGTGGCAAGTACTCAATAAACGGGGGCCCTATGTTGATGCAGCAGAGAAGAGAATGATGAGAATGTCCATGGTGGTGACGGGTCTGGCGAAGGGATGCAGTAGACACAGCTCATATGCCCTTTCTGCTTCACCTCTTGCACGCCACTGCCCTTCAGCACTTTGGAAAAGAGGGGTGACGTGCCTGCCTCAGCTTGCTCAGGTGCCCGACGGACAAGCCTTCCCTGAGCACGCACGAGGGCCTCAGTCCCAGGTGATCTTGCTAAAAAGCCTTGTTGGAAAGATGAACTGGCGTCTCACCCCTCCATTTCACTCATCCTTCGGGGTCAAACAAGTCCTATCTGTTTGACTCGTGAAATGATCTCAAATCCGCCATCACCTAGGCTGAGTCCTGATCACCTTTCACCTGAGCCACTGCAATTCCACCCAAGTGACTTCCCCACGGCACCCTTCTCCCCCACAATACACTTTCCACAGGGTGGTCAGGGATCTCTTAAGAACACAGACAAGATCAGTTTAGTCCCCAGCTTAGAACTCTTCAATAGGTCCCCAGTGGATCTAGAATAAAATCTAAACTTCTAGCCAGACTGCAGCCTACTTCCCTGACTTGACATCCTCCTGGGGACTTGCGGCACTCCGGCCACCGTGGCCTCCTTGGACTCTTAGGACACACCCAGTTCTCCTCCACCTTTGCAGCAGCTCTTCCTGCACTGCTCTGTGCTCCTGGCTTCCTCTCATACAAACCTCCAGCTTACACATCACCTTACAGAGACCGTCGCTAACCAATGTCGAACACAGGCCTGTCAGTCCCCCCTTCAGAGCACTAATAACCTATGTTGACGGTGTGTCTGCCTGTGTTATGGCTTCCCCACAAGAACATAAGCTCCACGAGTCTTTGTTCACTGTTGTAGTCCCAGCGTTTAAAAGAGTGCCTCACTCACAGCAGACAATCAATACCTACTGAATGAATGAATGAATGAACAATTAAACAACACATTCATTCAATAACAATTACTGAACTCCTGTCGTAGTAAAGGTACAATGGAAACGCAGAAAAATTACACGGTTCTTTCTTCCTTCTCCAGGAGAAAAATTCTGTAGAGAAATAGTCATGAAAAACAAAGAGGGTAAAGTTGAAAAACAAAAGTCGAGGGCAAATTCTCCCTTCCGGGGAGCTTTTGTTGGCATTTTAGGTGTTGCAAGATAACAGAGGGAAAGGGGCGGGAGGATAGGAAGGGTGAGAAAGGGTGCTGAGGGAGGGGTCCTGGGCTAGCTGGGAGCTGAAGATGTCACCTGTACAGTTACAGAAAGGCCTTCCCAAGGGCTCCCCACCTGCAGAACTGCCACCCCCTTTCTCTGCCTTGCACTCCGGGAACCCTAAAGGAAGCACACACCAAACTGCTAATTAAAGGGGAGGGAACGAAAGCTCCTCGTTAAGAAGCATCCAGAAAAATCAAGCTTCCAAAAAATTCATTGAGGTGTACTGTTAATAGAAACCATTTAGAGAGCTCTTTACAAGTGCGTTTCTACTGTGTTCAAAACGGCCAAAGGATTTTCTCCTAATTTTACATACTGTACATTATCAGCCAACATTCTTAAATGTGCTAAACTAATTTTAAAAACAAACAAACAAAAAAAACCCCACCTACAATCCGTCTTGTAGCATTCAATACTTTTCTCTTGGGTAAAAGTGGAATATTGGGTACCCTGAAGGGGTGCAGTTACCAAGGCCTGGCCGGGCCTCGACGGCGTGAGTGACCGTGGGCTGGTCTCTCCCCTAAGGGTCAGCCTTTGGTGGTCACAACCGAGCGGGGCTGGCGACCCTGCTCTCCCCGCCTGCCTCGGGAGCCGCTGGACCTCCAGTGAGACAATGGATGGGGCGACCGGCCGCGCTCTTCAAAGGCAAGGCGCGTCATCGGAAGCGTTACTAGAAAACCCAGCCCG